GGGGGTTACCCCCCCCCCCCCATAGCGACGTCCCTGACGATTCATATTATTTTTACGTCACCCCACTTCGGTACATTTATGGTCGGTGACAGTGTATGTAACAATGAGTATAAAAAACAGCTTTTGTGGAAATATAACTAGATCTGAAACTGATACAAAAAGGAATTCGACGTTTTGAGGGAAGGCCCTACCATACATGTCCATGCATTTTCCGCGGGTACTCCAATTTCTCTCTGTAATAAAACCAAACTAATAAAACCAAACTAACAAGGAAGTCCTTATACTGGACCTCTTTCGAGAACCGTTCGAGTTATCCAAAATATAAAACTGAACAAAAGAACTTGTGTTTCCTCTTTGTACGATAACGTTTGTCTTCTTTAATAATCTTAAAGACATGATCGAAATTTTGGTGAGAAAAATGAAGTGAAAAATTTCGTCAGTCAGCAGGATCTTGTATCAGTACCAAGCACCTCCACGGTCATGATTTTCTTAGTTTGTTCGTATAGACTATTAATGAGAAACAGTGGCGGAAATTCACATTTTCTGGTGGGGGGGGCAAAGCCTCCTAAATTTCCGACAAAACTTTCAAATCTCCGACATATCCCCCCCCCCCATTTGCACTCGAAAAGACTGTTTTTAGCCCTCTTTTAGGTAAAAATGTCCGAAAATTCGTCCCCCCCCTGTAATGACGTAATAGTTACATCATGCCTTAGGAGCATGCGCACTTGTAAGATAGAAGCTAGACATGTGTTTATGCATCGAAGGAGTACTATATTACATTTGGCGACGAGGACAAAAATAATAATAAAATATGGCAAAAGCCATACCCGATTTCGAACCATTTATAGTTTATGGGAACGACACTTCAAGTTCTTCTATTGCCACTCGCTGGAAAAAATGGTTGCAACGTTTTAACAATCTTATGGTCGCTATGGATATATCGGCAAAGAAACGGAAACGTGCTTTACTTATACACTTGGCTGGATCACAAGTTTACGATATCTTTGACACATTTACCGCCGAACAGAAAGGTTCTGAGGATGATTTTGACACCGCTGTGAAATCACTTACAACTTATTTCGAGCCTAAAAAGAATACGGAGTATGAAATCTACAAATTTCGCCAAGCTAGCCAACGCCATGACGAAAAGCTCGATTCTTACCACACTCGCCTTCGACACCTTGCTTCCACGTGTGAATTTGCAGACATGGATCGCGAAATTAAAACACAAATTGTCCAAACGTGCACGTCCCAACAGCTTCGACGAAAAGCCCTTCGTACTGAAATGACTCTCCAACAACTTTTAGATCAAGGCCGAGCCTACGAACTATCACACCAACAAGCTCAGGAAATGGAAAATAACAACACAGAATCAGTCAACCAGATGAAAACTGCTGCAACACGAAATTACTTTTCGAAGAACTTCAACTCACAACGTCAAGGACCAAGACAAGAATCAACGAAACTATGTTATTTTTGCAGCAAACCCTATCCTCATCCTGGCGTATGTCCAGCAAAAGGGAAAACGTGTCGACTTTGCGGGAAATTGAATCACTTTGCCGTCGCATGCCGTTCATCTCCACAAAAACAACAACATCGCCACCATGAAAGTGACAAACGTCAGACGGTTAAATATGTAAACGAAGAAAACGCAAGTGACAATACCAGTGAACACTCCGAGTCGGATGAATATACGTTTATGGTGCAAGATACAGACGAAAATACCAAACATCCAATGGCTAACTTACGGATTCAAAACCTAGCCAAAGTTAAATTCATTATTGACACTGGAGCGACAGTTAATTTACTCGAAGAAAAGGATTTTGAAGCCCTCAAACCGGAAATAACATTGCAACACAGTTCTATCAACATCTACCCCTACAAGTCCGATAAACCCCTCCGTGTCCTTGGAAAGTTTACTGCTACTGTAGAATCGCGGAAACGAATTGATGCTGCCGAGTTTTTTGTCGTTAGCAACAACGGTTGCCTTGGAGGTTCTTTGTTATCCTACAATACTGCAAAGCATCTTGGTTTGATTGCAATTACTAACGCTGTGGACACTGCTAAGAACACAACTGTATCCTGCAATGTTGCAATACCTGAGGAATTATTCAATGGCGTTGGAAAATTAAAAGATCATAAGGTGAAGCTACATATTGACGAATCAATTCCACCCGTTGCTCAAACCCATCGGCGGATACCATTCCATCTACGGAAACAGGTGGAGAAAAAGCTTGAAGAGATGGAAAAGGATGACATCATCGAGAAAACAGAAGGTCCAACGCCCTGGGTTTCTCCAATCGTTGTGCCGAAACCCAAAAGTCCAAACGATGTTAGAATTTGTGTGGATATGCGGGCTGTCAACAAGGCAATCCAGCGAGAACGTCACATAACCCCCACCATAGATGACGTCATAGCAGATCTAAATGACGCTAAAGTATTTTCAAAGCTTGACCTCAATCAAGGTTATCACCAACTTGAACTCTCAGAAGAATCACGCTATATTACCACGTTTAGCACCCATGTCGGCCTGAGGAGATATAAGCGCCTTAATTTCGAAGTAACCTCTGCAGCTGAAATTTTCCAAAATACTATTCGAGAAACTCTTGAAGGTCTCAACGGCTGTATTAACATCAGTGATGACATCTTAGTCTATGGATCCAACCAAAAAGAACATGACAACAACCTTAAATCTGTATTGGAACGTCTTCAGTCTCGTAACCTAACATTAAATAAGCTGAAGTGTGAATTCAACAAAACCAGCGTTGAATATTTTGGATATGTATTCTCATCGCAGGGCATTTCACCTGACCCTCGCAAACTCTATACGCAACTCCCAACCTCCATCCAATCCAAACGAAGTCCGAAGTTTTCTAGGTATGGTCAACTTTTGTGCCCGATTCATCCCAAACCTTGCGACACTAGCTAAACCATTACGAGACCTGACAAAACAGCATGTCAAGTGGAAATGGACCAGTGCTGAACAACATGCTATGGACAGTATCAAATCCGTGTTAACCAGTGAAACAACAATGGCTTATTATAATCCCTCGCACAAAATTGAAGTTCTTGTAGATGCAAGTCCAGTTGGTCTTGGTGCTATACTTGTCCAATATCCTACCACTAGAGATCACAGTGCTTCGCCACGTATTGTCAGTTATGCCAGTCGGGTATTAACTCCTGTAGAGACTCGCTATTCACAAATTGAGCGAGAAGCTCTGGCTATTGTCTGGTCATGTCATAAATTTCATCTATATTTATATGGTACCCAATTCTCTGTTATTACTGATCACAAGCCACTGGAACGTCTTTTCAACGACCCACAAAGCAAACCACCTGCTCGTATTGAACGATGGTTATTAAAGGTACAACCATATCGTTTCAATGTTCAGTATCAACCTGGTTCTGACAATCCAGCCGACTTTATGTCCCGCCATCCGTTGCCATCATCACCTACCAGCCATGAGGAGAGATGCACTGAAGAATATGTTAATTTCGTTT